AGACATTTTCAAAATATATTAAAATCAGTTTTTTTATGTTCCTTTCCATTTGAAAAAGACTCAGAAAATTTTTTTAAGGTTCAGCCATGCCCCTTGAAGAAGTAACCTGAGAAAAGAAAAAGGAACTTGGCTTTAATTTTTTTAAGTTGAAAAATATTTATGTAAGTCACAGTGTTAATCATCTGTTCAGTAGAGACAGGACAACCAAGGGGTGGCATGACACTAAAAGAAAGTACAACTACTTTTGCTAGAAGTATAGTTTCCTAGGTATCTTTGAACTGCTATTTTTATTTCTCTACTCCAGGACAGAGACAACTATAAAGCTGTCTTCATAACTAAGTAAAAGTTAAGATTTGTGGATTAGAGAGAGTCCTATAAGTTACTAGGTAGCAGAGGTTTTCTTCCCATTTGGGCACAAGAAGAAAACCCATTTCAAAGAAGCCAAACTGAATTACAGAAGTATTAACCCTGAAAGATTGAGGTCCCATTTAAAATGCTAGATAATGTATAGCTTGTGAAACTCATAAAAAATTAATGATCAATTTCTCAGACCATAACCTCACAAGAAGCAGACAGCAGTTATAAGTTACAGAAATTATAAACTATTTCCAAGGTTTAGGCATTACAGTTAAAAAGGTAAAGCTAATTCCAGTCAATCAGCGGTTGAAACAGTTGTTAGTGAGGTAAAGCATATATCTCTTTAAAACTTATTCAGTATTTTTCTGTTTGTTCATCTTTATAGAGATTTGTTGTGTAACCCATCTGTTTCAGTACAGAGGCTGTTTTCATTGCAGAGATAAGGCTGAATCCTGTGGTTTGATTTATTAGTTATTTTGGATATTTGTTCTCTAGAGATAGCTAACTGTAAACCTATTTTTCATAACTTTTAAAGGTACCATTCACCCTATTTTACCTCCCCAATAGGGCCTGAAGGATTTTTTTGGGTTTGGGTTATAAGCGTTGTAACGCAAGATTATAATAAGTACCTGCATAAATTTATGAATTTTTTATATTTATTGTGCTACAAATAGCATCTCCTTTCTGTAATTATTACCAGATTAACTTTTTAATAAAATGATCTAGAGATTGATGTTAGCTAACTAAAAAGGGGACTATCAAAGGCATATGAAAGGCTGTGTTTGGATGTCACAGATTTGTCATTCTTTTCTACTTCAGTTTCGAACTTCTCTGATATTTTCACCCAGGCTTGTTTTACTATTGCTAAATTGTTATAGTTGACAAGACCTACCCTAAGATCAAATTCCTGAAACAAAAGTCCAATGGACCCAAATCACATATTTGAGCTGAGATAGACAAGTCATAATTTGCTATGAATTAGCCAAACTCTACCACTCAGTTCATTCACCCAGAAGGAGAGAGAGAAATGGTGTCAGTGTTAACAAAAATGTTCCCTGGCCCAGGGGGCTGGGTAGTTTTCTCTTAGCAGAAGTTATGAGTGGACAGGCACCCTGAAATATGTCTAGCACAATTATGCCTGTATACTTACTAAAATGTACTATTTTTTTTCCAGGTAGCTCTTAATAAGAGAAATTAAAATACAGAAGTTTTACTTAACTAAATACACAATTATATTGACCATACCATAGCCTGACTATCTTAGTCAATTATATGAAATATTTTTGTAGATTAAGATGATTCCTTATATAAGCGTCACATGAAAATCACAAATGATTTTATAATAGTGGTGGTTATGCCTTACCTTTTTGTGCAGTGCTATTTATAATTTACAAAACACTGCCACACTTACTTATTCATGAAGTTGTTAAATTCGTCCTGTGAGTTGATATATGGTCATGTTCACATCTATAAAACGCAGACATAGGTTGTCACCTGCTAAAATAATATTCCCATTAGTGAAGGAGTTGAGACTAGAGCCTTCATTTCCCAACTTGTAGTCAGCTTTATTTTTCCACTACAACAGATCTCATAGTTTCAGCTATAATTTGCAAAGCAGGCAATTAAACAATGGAACAGAACTGGATGTGAGAAAGCAGCAAGGCAGGAAAGATTACGTAGGACAAGACTTCAGGCCAGGCAAAAAATATGTGTATTGCCCCTGGAATTTATTAGAATGTTATTCTGTATCTAACATTTATATTTTGTACAAGAATCCATTTTATAAAATAACTGGGGGCTATAATAATAATGAGCCATAATAATCACAAATATTGAGTCCAGTGTTTTGTGAACAAATGAAGCTACTGGAACTCTGATCTATCTGAAGGCATTCATCCAGGGCCAGGAAAAAAGTTCTGTTTCTTGGGGTAGGGAGATTGGAAGGGTTGATAAAAATTATGGCAAAGGTATCTAGAAGATGAGAGGTTTTAGAGTATTAGACGTGTAGGTTATTATTTATGTCCCCCTTGCTGCCAGATCAGGAAAAACAAACTAAGAATGGTGGTTACAACTCAAAGCAATAATCTGTAGCCCAATCAGATTTTAATAAAAATCTGAAATTGAGGGTGGAGGTTGAAGATTAAATGAAGAGGTGCTCAACGTTAAGATTTTGCAGCTTATATTACCACCATCCTTAGCCAGCTGAGACTGTAGTAAAATTCTTACCATCTACATCCCCACTGAGTGAGGAAGTATATGCCTCTTGAGCATGCAGGATGCCTTGCTGTTCAGCTGCTCTGTCAATCCTTAGCAGGACAGTTTTTCTTGCTATGCATAGGAAGCTTCTCTTCTACCGAGTTAAGACCAGGATCATGAATCTACCAGTTGATTGTCTACAAAATGAATATTATCAGAATTACCAGGTTTTATTAAGGCATATAATAAAATTGACTGGTTTTACATTTTAATTCCTCTTACTGCCTTTTAAAAAAAAATTAGAATTCTCAAGATAATTTATAAAATTTAAAGGCTCATTTTAAAAAAATCTTTCCCAACTTTTCAAAAAACAATTAGGAAAGCGAGTGGTACTACTAAAGAAATTTCCTCTGGATGGGGAGAAGATGGGCAGAGAAGCAGCATTATTTATTGTTCCATCAGTTGTCAAAGGTAAAGTTCAAGTTTTATCTTATGAATCTTTTTGTGCCTTAGATGCTAAGTTAAAATCTATTGAGGAATTTAGGAATTTGCATTCATAGTTACTACTATAATACTCTTGTAAGATACATGTTGTTAATTAATGGAAGATGGAGAAATTTGTTACTTAAATGAAGATATTTTGATTTCAAAGTACTTCAGGCTTCTGGACTAAACAATAATGGTTTTGTTTCTGTTTTTAAAAGTAGAATAAAGAGGTAAGGAGGGAAGCCATAATTGAAACTAAAAGTTGTCAGGTTATGCTAAGGAGTTTTTTCAAAGGATATGCTATCGATATTTAAGAATTTTGGAAAATTAAGAGATTATAATCACATCTATCTTGTATTTGGGACAAGAAAGTGTCAGTAATAGTTCTAAAACACTGCCCAACAGCGGTGGCAATATTTAAAGAACTTACATTTAATATGAAAATTTAATTTGAGCCTTTGACATCTAGAATAATAGAAGAAATATTGAGTTTCAGTGCAGACCTTGCAGCAGCCCACTAATTTGTGGTCCTATGCAAATCATTTTTTTTTGTTGTTAATCCTCACATGAGGATTTTTTTTAAAAGAATGTGGAAGGGAGGTAGGGAGAGGGGGGAAGAGAGAGAAACATCGGTGGGCGAGAGACACATTGACTAGCTGCCTTCTGCATACTCTGACTGCGGGTAGGGTGCAAACCTACAACCCAGGTACATTCCCTTGACCGGGAATTGAGCCCACGACCCTTCGACCCTTCAGCACGCTTGCCCATGCTCTAGCCACAGAGCCACACCAGCCAGGGTGCAAATTGCCTCTTTAAGCCTCAGCTATTTATTTATAACAGGTTTCTGCTACTACTTGGTCCATTTGCTAGAAGAATTCAATGAAGTATTCGATGTGAAAATCACTTTGGAACCTGTAGAGTACTAGTCCCATGTAAGGTAGCAATAATACTGATTCTATATTAATGACCCACTGTGGACATCCCATCAGCTTGCTGCTACACAGTACTTACATGTATTTTATTAGTCAGCTGTAACATTCCAGATATACTTTTTTCCCAGCCATACTTAGGTGAAAAAATCCATTATTTTAAATGGTGTTGGAAATCTTATTAATCGGAGTTTTATAACAGTGTTGAGAAAGAGAGAGGAAATAATTTCTTCAGTTCTCCAAGATTCTAAATGCTGCATTCACTCAAATGGATAAGGTCACAGAGTTGCCCATCACTTGAATCCAGATCTTCTAATTCAAAATTTAAAATAATTTGTTATACCTAACAATTTTTATATAAACATACTGTATACTTTAAATAAAAAACATGCAGCTGTAAACCTTTTTATGTGATGGCATAATTCTTAATTTTTCTTTTCCAGATAATACTAAATATACATATACTCCAGGATGCCCAATTTTTTACTGCTTGCAAGATATTATGCGAGTCTGTAGTGAATCCAGCACTCACTTTGCAACTCTTACAGCAAGGATGTTAATAGCCTTGGATAAGTAAGAATTGCCATTAAAAAATGTTTTTTAATAAATCAAATACATGTTGATGGTAGAAATTAACTCTGATAGATATCAACACTTTGGGAAGAAAATAATGAAATTAGTAATATATGTATTAATAAATGGTAAGTTTTTTAAAAATTAAATTTATCAAAGTAACATTGGTATTACATAAATTCCAGGTGTACAGAATTAGAATATGTTATCTATATACTCTATTGTGTGCTCACAGACCAAAATCTAGTTTCCTTCCTATATCATATATTCGTTCCCCTTTAACCAGTTCACCTTCCCTCCACCCCCTTTCCTCTCTGGTAACTACCATTTCGTTGTCTGTACAAGTTTGTTAGTTCATTAGTTGCTTTTTGTATTATATTCCACATATGAGTGAAATCATAAGGTTTTTGTCTTCTGTCAGACTTACTTCACTCAGCATAATTCCCTCAAGATTCATCATGTTGCAGATAGTGGTGTTTCATCATTTTTTATGGCTGATAGTATTCCATTATATATATATGCCACACCTTCTTTATCCAATCATCCGTTGCTGGGCACCTAGGTTGTTTCCATGTCTTGGCTATTGTAAATAAAGCTGCAATGAACATAGGGGGTACATAAATCTTTGCGAATTTGTGTTTTCATATTTTTGTGGTAGATACCCAGAAGAGGAATTGCTGGATCATATGGTAGTTCTATTCTTAATTTTTAAAAGCTCTCTCCTTGTTTTCTGTAGTGGTTGCCCCAATTTACATTCCCACCAATAGTGCCTGAGGGTTTCCTTTTCCCTACATCCTCATCAACACTTGTTATTTCTTGTCTTTTTATAAAAATAGCCATTTAACAGGTATGAGGTGATCTCTCATTGTGATTTTGATTTGCAAGAAATCATTAGTTTTTTAGTATCATATAAAAGTGAAAAACTCCAAAGACAGGATTGTCCTTGTTTGCTTGCAACATGTTAATTTTATCTTCAAAAATGACAAAGACTGTCTTGTCTTAAGATTCCTTTGTTATAAAACTAGCCTTCGTATTGAGTTACTCTCATCAGTGAACAAGTCATGCCTTTGTCTTTCTGTAACAGCAGGGGTAATGTACCTACATCTTAGTGGTTTAAATTTTAAGTGCTTCATGTTTTTTGAAAGGGGTTTTTATTATTATATGGTATATACATTTTTCAAAGTAGTTTGCTGTGTCCATTAACAAAACTTTTATTAATAGTAAATGAAGTACTTAACCAACATTAAATATTGGAAAATACCACATATCAGAATTGGATAATAATCTACTTTTATGTTCACTTTTGAACAAATACTTCTACTATCTCTACTTTCTGTTTTGCCAGGTGGTTAGATGAGCGTCATGCACAATCTCACTTTATTCCAGCTTTGTTTCGACCATCTCCTCTTGAGCGAATAAAAACTAATGTCATAAATCCTGCATATGCTACTGAATCAGGTCAGACAGAAAACTCACTACATATGGGCTATAGTGCACTAGAAATAAAGAGTAAAATGTTAGCCCTAGAGAAAGCAGATACCTGTATTTACAACCCTTTGTTTGGATCAGATCTTCAGTACACAAACCGGGTAAGAACTGAATGAATTTTGGCTCTGATTTCAGAAGAATGTAATTTTTTCCCCCTGAGATAAATGAATCTGTTGCTAATTGTAAACATTAAGATGGCATCCATACTTAGCTCTATTTATATATTAATGTTAAGTATTGAAAGCTCTCAAAGGTTTTTTGTTTTGTTTTATTTTCCCTTTCTAGGTTGATAAAGTGGTAATAAATCCATACTTTGGTCTTGGAGCTCCAGACTACTCAAAAATCCAAATTCCCAAGCAGGAAAAATGGCAGAGGAGCATGAGCAGTGTCACAGAAGACAAGTACTGTTTTGGTTTTACTCCACATTGCTTTTTTAAAACCTATATTCTGTCATTATAGTGTTTATAATGATATGTACAGTTATTATATAGTATAGTCACTGCATAACTGATTTAGTTTGTAGCTGCTTAGTGATATATAGCTTTCAATTTGTTTTTATGAATAGGGAACGACCGTGGGTAGATGATTTTCCTCTCCATCGAAGTGCCTGTGAAGGAGATTCAGAATTATTAACTCGTCTTCTCAATGAAAGATTTTCAGTCAACCAATTAGATAATGACCACTGGGCACCTATTCATTATGCATGCTGGTAAATAGATTACTTATTATTTTCCTTTTAGAAAAAATGAATCCTTAGTTGTAAATGTTAGTGCTCCTTTTCAAAACTATTCTTATTCCAGCCACTTTTTTTCTACCATGTTTGCCTTACGAACTTTCTATTTAGATCTTTGATTACTGTATATGTGCCTCCATTCAGAATTGCCAGGTCTGCCCCATGGGAAAAGTATTGTTAGTGTCCTTAGGAATTACCAGATCATACAGAAGAATAGCTAATGACTACCAAGTGTCATTGCACAGCACAAGGACCCTTATTATCTGTTTTGTATTGGGAGTTATGTTATGTTTGTTTATCCTTACTGTAAATTTTACCTGTGTTAACTACTTATGATTTCACCTTTTATTATGTTAGAAAAATATCCTTTTAGTTCTTTGGGAAGCTGTAGAATCAGGAAACCCCCAAAAGCTTTCATTGGAATCAAAGCTTTCCCCTTTTTTTTCTTTTTTAAGATGAGAGGGATTAGCTCACAGGATTGAAGTCAGTTGTTTCCACTAGTTGCCCAATGTCGTTCTTGCTCACGTACCCTTCTCACATGGTAGTGACTCTTCCCTCAGCTGGGCTGAGTTCTTAAATTTATGTTCATAGCAGCAGTTAACAGTTTGCTATAGCCCATCCTTTAAAGAGGATGTAATAAAGTTATTTACCATATTTCTTATGGAAAAGGTGCTTATGACTTATTGGTTAAAGTGAATTTCTTTGGCTCATTTAACAAGTGCCTATATTATTTACTGCTTGTTAAGAAATGTGGACATTTCTTAAGCTGAATGACATTGAGCAAGGTATTTCATTTCACCTTTTGCCTCTCAGTTTTGTTTTTTTATCTGTATATAAAATGCACTAATTTGATCATTTCTTGAATTCTTTTCAACTCAAATTCTTTTGGTTTCACTGATTCCAATATTTGTGATAAAGAAGCTAAATGTAGTTGCTTTAAATACGTATTTTTTCTCCTTTTAAACTATGCTGTTTCCTTAAAAGACATGTTCCTTTATTCAGTAAATATGCTCTTAATTTTTTTTCTTAAAAATATGCTTTATTCTATACATGTGTTCTTGTTTGCCCATTACAGAGAATTTTTATATCAAGTTTGGAAAGAGTCACCCTAAATCTTCTTTAACTAGACTTACAGTTTTGTTCAAATTACTCGTAAATACTGC